GTCGTCATTCCTGGCTGTCAGACGTAGGGAAGCCAGAAGGTACCGATACCGCAGGTCCCCGGACCTCTCCCGGGGTGCATTCTGCGAAAAAAATCGAACAGGAGGGGAGGCACGGAGAAGGGAGGGAGGGGAGGGAAGGAGAAGGGAGGGAGGGAGAGAGAGGGAGGGAATGAGAAGAGGACGGAGGAGGACGAGAATGAAAAGGAGGAGGACCTCTGACCCGTGGGGCGGTCGGGACTCGGAGGGGGAGGCTCACGAAAGTTCAGGCCACAAGCCCGAACCCTTCGGCACGGTTGTAATGCGCCTGGCAACGCGGGGCGTCCAGCGCTCCAGGCGGTCACAGTCCTGCCCGAGTTTGGCAAGGATTGCAAGGGTTAGGTCGGGTATGCCCCCTAAAGGCGGATTTTGGGCGACAAATAAAAATACAGAAGAATAAAAAACAAATATTCAAAAAATCGTGCCTTGACTATTTGTTCACTATTTTGGAGATTCCCCCTGTAGAAGTACAGGCCCGACTGAATGCGAAGGGCATCGTCTCGCTCCCAGCACGCGCGCTGACGAGGAGCCTCAAATCTCTCGCGCTGCGCGCGCAGGCCGCCCCTGAAAGCCTCTGCGAGCGCACGCATCAGAGAGTCTGCTGACTCTGAGCTCCTCAATGCTGTCGTAGAGGGCGTCGCGCGCGCGTGAAAAAATGCGCCTTGCGGCCCAATTCACCCACCCAGCTGCGCGGGTCCTTTCCCTCTCAGCTGAGAGGCGTTTGGCCGCCAGACGCCCCTTCATCGCTCGGGGCCTTCTCATCCTCCTCCGCCTCCTCCTCCTGCTCCTCCACCTCCTCCTCCTCCTCTCCCTCCTCCTCGTCCTGCGGCGTGGGCTGCGCGGCGAGTTCGTCCCTCATCGCATGAACTGCGCCCGCACGGCAGGGGGCACACCTTGGGACCCCTGCAGGGTAAAAGGTCGTCGGCCAAGTCGCCGCGATGCCATTCTTATCTACTTGTACAAGAAATACGCACAAGCTGAGACTTTCAAAGGGGATCCCGTGGGAGACAAACTTCCGAAACGCTCGAGGGGCCGAGGATCCAAAGGGCCCACTGTGGACTCCCAAAGCGAAAAAAACAACGGGCAGCTCCAAGAATGACCAAATGAATCTTCGCATCCGTCATCAGGAGGACATCCACATGTACTACGAATTGTCAGTATGTTGAAACCTACGTTGCGCAAGTCAATTTTTCGAGAGAGCCCGAGCCGCGGCAGACGAGAGCGCGACGGAAAGGGAGGCAAGGACAGCGCGGACGGCGAGCCAGTCCACGGTAAGGATGCGAGCCCTTTCAGACAGGAGCAGCTCACAGAGACGCGCGGAAAACAAGATCCCAACAGAGGCGGGATACATGGCCTCCGAGATACTGTGAACCAGGAGACGCTGAATTTGCGGGTGCGGGTTTCTCATGGGGCTCACTGTGCGTTGGTGTACTTCACGGGCCTCATGGAGAGCTGGGCGACAGAGTTCGCGAATCTTCGCCGCCAGATGTGCGCCCTCATGCGCATCAGACACATGCCGGCACATCCCGGAAATCTGGTGAGAGGTCCCCGCGAAGAACCGACGCATGTGGGCGGCGCCGAACTGCAGCAAAGTGCAACATAGTGAGTGGCCCTCTCCACTCAAACGTGCAGATGGCGGCTCTGGAATGGGCGGCAGGACAGGTGGCTGGCAGCGACGATATTCGAAGACCTCCCCATGCCTTCCATTCGTACCATGCACCCTGACTCAACCCACAGTGAGGCACGTGGAAGACCCGCGAGAGCACCGCGGCCTCGAACAGCGTCGCATCTCTCGGCGCCGGCAGGAACTGCACAAGTTGGCTGAGACCGCACTCGAGGAGCCAACCTCTGCAAGCTCAAATGACCGATGGCGCCATTTGCGTAGTGGGCCTGCCCAGCAGTGCCGCTCTGCTTCGGGGCAAAAGATGCGTTCCCAAGTATATCAAGAGCTCAAAGATGCGCGAGAGCTGCTGCATGCACTGCAGCTTGATGGCGGCAGCGCCAATGTCGTCGGCACACAGACGGACCATGCCCCGATGCCTGACATCGAACGCGGATCCGAACTCGACCGTGAAGAGCCCCATGCAAATCGCAAAGAACGCCCCAGAAGCCCGGCGCCCTTGGAGGACCCCCGCCAGGACCGGACACATAAGCATTAATGCGCCTCTAAATTCAGAGAAACATGGAACTCCATGGTAGAAAAATCGGACGTAGTCAAGACGCGGGGTCGGGAGACAGGCGCATCCATCGATGCGAGACAGACGTGAAAGCCTGGGCGAAGCCGAACGCGGCGAAAGGAGGCAGGTCCGCATCTGCAGATGGCATCATTGAGTAGCGCCTAGACATCGCATCCAGATCGAGGACGTCGGCCCCGAAGTGCCGCCCTTGGACGAAGCCCTTCGAGGCCGATTGGCCACGGAGGCCGGGGCCCTGGATGGAGAGAAAACGATCGCGGCGGTGATTGCCTTGTTGTGAATATTGTTCAATCCGAGGGGTCGGAATGCGTCGCATTCTCGCGCGCACCCTCCTCCGCCTTGACTTCCTCCTTCCCCCTTGGGGGCGTAGTCGCCCGAGAGATGGGCGCCGCCTCGGAATGCCCATCCACCCTCCAATCGCCGGAACATCATCTCATACAGAACTGGCGACACCTGCGGAGTCCGTTGCCAAGCAGAATAGGGGGCGCAATCAGGACCAGGGGCGACGCGGTCTTGCCCGCGCAAGACCGAACAGAGAAGTTTGCGCGAAGGAGGCGGTACATTACTGAGGTCTAGATGCGATGCGAACTCTGGACGCACGTCCGCGCCAGAGACTCCGGCGTAGACTTCTCAGGAAAGACTGCACCCCAGTGCTCGCCCGTCGCGCTGGCCATGTCCAAGGGGTCGGACTATAGTTGGTCATCTCTGCACGCGCGATCTGCAATCGACAGGTGCCCTGAGCATCGCCATCTTCTGGAGCCCGCGGAGACGTTGGCGGAGGCGCTTGCGTTCGTCCCCCTCAAGCCTGGCAGATACGTTTATCCCAAATACACTTCATCTTTCCATAATGGCGGCTGTCCTCCAGGGAGTTGACCAGATCGGAAAACAACCAGGGCCCACCGAAGAGATCGTCGCCATCTCCGAGTCCCGGAGGGGGCGCCGTTGTGCAAGAGGGTGGGGATGCATCGACTTTCGGCCCAACTTCAAATCTTGTTTCCAGACGGCTCGAGCGATTGATCGACGCGGGGTGATCTTCCCGAGGATCGAGCCAGACGAGGTTCCCAATGATGCGTTCCGAGCAAAACGAGCTCACACTTTCATCGACATCTTACACCAAACAAAACGGAAAGGCGAAGAGAAATTCTAGAGGCCGGCTCCTGCGAGGTCGGCCCGCGCAAACATAATCTGTTCGGGGGTGTCAAACAAGCCTCGAGTGATAGGAGGTGATTTCCGATGTTTCGGCGGAGGGGGGTGGAAGTCAACCGCGATGGCGGCATGGTCAGAAAACTTTCGACGTTTCACAACTTCGGCGAGACCCTGGTGTATATATATATGTAAATATGTATAGAATTGCCGAATCGCCCATCCGGGCATTCTCATCGTGTCATTTGGCGCGTAGGTGCGGGCGGGATCTGGCATCTGGATCTCGATGGGGCGCCCCAGGGGATCTCCCCAAGCGGCATCTTGAGCCGCCCTCCGATTCTGATATCCATCCCCAGCGGCGACATAGAGAGCCGGGTTCAAAGGTGACGGCGGCGACACAAAAGTATTAAGTTCCCTGGTGAAAACGACCAGCTCGCTAAGGGGATCCAGGCAGACTCTTGAACTTTACCCAAGACACGTTGATATATGCAAAAGTTGTCCCCCCGAAAATGCCCATAGTTATGAGTGCGATAGCGTGCCATCTAAGACTTCCCACCGTAAATCTGAATAGTAATACACAGGGCCCTTCCATTCACGAGATCGAGATACTCCACTTCCACCTTCAACTCAGAGTACTTCGGCACAGGTACCAACGCGAAGATACCGCCTGCAGCGTTCGGCAGGAAGCTAGCGATGCACTGGTACGGCTTGCGGAGGAAGTGCATCATGCTGGCTTACTCCTCAGTGCCATGGGACTCTTGAATCACAACAGTGGAGGAAGGAGCAATTAGCGAGGAACGGTAGGCATCGCGGCGGATCGTACATTGACCCTTATCCACAGGGATGCAGAGGCCCGTGCCGCCGCCAGTGGGGAGCTGCGTGGAAGCTTGCGTCATGCGCCATCACGGAAACGACTGACGGATGTAGCATGTCGAACTGCCCGGGCCGCGAAGTGGCATTGGCCCGTGAACTGTATGATGTTCTTTTTTTTACAAAAAGGTCCTTCAGCTGATACTGGTACCCCATTGCCTTCCACATCCAATTTGGCGTCCTGCATCAATGGGGAGAGAGCTTCGCGTACGGTATCGGCACTGACCACCTCACGTGAGCGAGCGACAACGATGGTTGGGTCTGCAGGCCTGCCGGAAGTGTTTGGCAGCTCCACTTTGACAGGAGGGGGCTCTGTCTTGACAGATTACAATTGATCATGCGGGTGTTTGATCTGGTCCTCCAAATAACTAAGACGGCCTTCGTGCGATGCGGCCTTGGTCTCGACATTGTGCATGCGGGTCTCCGCCTGTCTATCCAGTCCTTGGGCGTGGTATGCGACTGTCCGAGAAAAGGGAGACGACACTGGACAAGATGGATGCAATGGCTGCCATGTGTCCATTTCGCGTGCTGTCCACATAAGAGCGGAGATCGTCAGGTTGTCCAGGTGGAGGGACGGAATAAGCAGAACCACCACTGCCACCGCCGCTGAAAACAGGAACAGGAAGTTCTTCAACCTCATGAAACTCGTCTTCAGGGACTTGTCAGTTCTCGAGTGCGAGAGCGAGTGCGACCTTGGTCGGTGCCAGGTCCGACTCGGCCGCCAGCCGATCCTTTGCCTCGAGCATTACTTGCCAGATTGCGCTAGCACACGACGTGATAGCTCCCACGCATCCACAGATGTCAGCACGCAAGAGGGCGAGAGGCGAGAAGCGGGGAATGGAGAAAGTGCCGCCAGCGCACGACACGCTGGATCGCTCAAAATGGGACCTGTTCCAATGTAAGCCCAAATGATAACGGACTCCTCCCTCTCGTCCTCCTCCTCCTCCTCCTCCTCCTCCTTCTCCTCCTCCTCCTCTTCCTCCACCTCCTCGTCCTCCTCCTGCTCCTTTTCCTCCTCCTCCTCCTCCTCCTGCTGCTCCTCCTCCTGCTCCTCTTCCTCCACATTTCCTCCACGTCCGCCTCCTTCCCTCCTCCGCCTCCTCCTCCTCATCATCATCCGCCTCCTCCCGGGGGGGGGGGGAAACACCTCTCGCGGATCGAAAACATCGCGCCGGAAATCTTTCGCCATGCTGGGCGTCCTGGGGTCGCCATCTTGGCCTCGCAGCCGTCAAAAAAACGATTCGAGATGCAAAACCGTTCCTGGGAAAAGGTACGAGAGCTCCAGAGAGGGCAGAAACGGAGTCGTCGTACCCCATTTCCACCGCCTGGGATGAGGACAGCATCAATGGGGGCGACAGTCGACAGCAACTGCTGTACGAAATCGGCAGCGGCTGCTGTTTGGCAGACGACGTCCGCTTCGAAACGAACCACGTCCGCCTTGAAGCCGACAGCGAATCCTGCCCACGGTGAACAGGAACTGCTGCCGGCCATCGTGTGCAGCTGTTTCGTCCCCCATCTGGGCCCTACCGACCCGCGCTCCTCCCAGTCGGCGCTCAGCATGGCCGCCCGGATGAGCTGCAAACGGCAGCGCTCAGAGTTGACGCTCGCCGGCGACAGGAAGCCGTACTCCTCGCCGGCGCGGTCTCGCGGCTGACAGGCGTCCCACGGCGACGGGGCAGGAGGATACGAGCAGATCGAGGGCGACCAACTCGGGACTGACCTCCGGGAGCAGGTCGACGCAGATACTTTCTGCGGGGGGGGAGGTGTGGAAGCGGACACACCGAAGCCGATCCAGAGAATGCATCGGGTGCAGCGGCCATTGCGAAGTGCTGCAGAAGGCGCTGGTAATCTCTGGGAGCGGATGAGATATGGCGGTCTGGCACCGACACGCCGGGCGACCTCCCTGATTGAAAGGGGTCGGCCGACCCCTCCGTCTTCCCCCCGACAAAAACGATGGCCTCGATGACCAAGAGGAGCCATGGATGAGGGAAATGAGGGCGGCTGGGGAAGGAGAGGGGGAGTGGAGGAGGAGGTAGGATGGAGGGAGCAGGGGTAGGGGGCGAGGATGGAAGGAGGGAGAACGAGGATGCGGGAGGATGGGGAAGGAGAGAGGGGATGAGGAGGAGGGGGGGGTGAAGCAGAGAAGGAGGGAAGGCAAGGGACGGAAGAGAGAGAGAGAGAGGGTGTGAGAGATGATTATATGTCGGACGGAAGAAGTGGATGGAAGCATGAAGTAGGAAAGCGGTGGAAGTAGACTGGGTTTCCGCCAGCCCCCTAAAGAGGCGGGGACTGAGGGAGAACCCCTCGACTCTTGAAGTAGGAAGGCGCCTAACGTAGATTGGCATATGGGCATCCTAAAAAACAACTACTTCCAACACCGGCGTGTACGTTGCCGAAAGAGCCAACGCCGAACAGCGCAATATACGACCCGAATCAGTGCGCCGCGAAACAGGATGAGCGTCGCTTGTGGCCGTGAGACGCGCGAGGGGTGCGCTTAAATTTGCAGTGGGAGCGACGCCCTGCCGCTGAGGCCTTCGGAGGAGCTCCCTGCGGGGCCACGAAACGCGCGAGGGGTGTGCCGACATGGCGGGGGGCCCGCATGCGATACCCCGCCGCTGAAGGGGTCACGATGGGGGTGCCGAACTGGGCGGGGCGCCCGTGTGCGATACCCCGCCGCTGAAGCCTTCGCGGGAGCTCTTTAGGAGGCCACAAAACGAGCGACGGGCGTGTCGGAGTTGGCGGGGGGGCCGCACGTGTCCCCTCCCCACAGGAGCTTCGGTGGAGCCCCCTCGTGGGGCCACGAATCGTGCGGGGGCTGTGCCGAACGGGCTGCGGGATCGCCTGTGGCCCTCAACTCCACCCTGAGGGCTGAGGCTGAGCTCCTCATGAGGCCACGAAGCGTGCGCGGAGAGTGTCGACATGGATTCGGGGGCCGCACGTGCCCCCACCCCCCCTTCGGTGGAGCTCGCGATGGAACGAGTGAGGGGTGTGCCGAAATTGACATGCGGATGGCAGAGGCAAGCATGGGAGGAGGGATCAGGGGCACTGGGAGGGAAGTGGGAGACTCTGGGCGCTGCGGATTCAAACGGACGAACCAACTCACCGCAGGATGGTTGGGAGCAACAAAAATCACCGGACAGCTCGCCCATTGGCCCACGAACCGCCCCACGCCAAGGGGCGCGCGTACATACGGGCGCAGCGCAGCGCTGGATGCGATGCACTCGGCTGGGCCAAGCAGGGGAAAACCAAGTGCTGCATCGCGTGGCGCGTGGATGCCCGCACCGACCACGATTCTTTTCAGGCCCTACCCCCAACTCTCCCCTTCTGCCTCCACCTCCTCCTCCTCCTCCTCGCACGTGGCCCAGGGAAGTCCGAAAGTCATCACCGCTCTACCTCAGCCTGCTGCAGCATCTGGGCACGTGCAGCACGTGCCGAACAATCGAGAGACTGGGAGGGGCAGCGGCGGTGTGCCTTGCACATGTAATACGCAATGATCACGCGGTGGCACGCAACGTCACGCTCCACATCTGCAAGCGAGCGTTCAAGTGCGAGCCGCGAGAGAATGGGACGGGGGAGAGGCACCTCGGGGAACCAGGCGGCGATGATCGCTGACCACATCCTTGGGCAAGACATATAGTGAGCCTGCCTGTCCGAGGCCTCTTCCTCCAGGCAACCAAAAATACACGGGCATTGCTTCTGTGACACCCTCCTCTCAGTCACTCACCCACCCGCCAACGTCTTGACAATGCACATCTGCCATGAAGGTGGCGCTTGCAGCAAGCGAGAGCGGAGCGCGAGCCAGTCGATAGCTGCGAGAGCGGGGGCCGACAGTGGCCACACTGCCCAAGAGGCGATCCTACGCTTGATAGCGTTCCCGAATTTGTCCTGATATAAAGAGGCTCCCAAGGCACGGCCGAACACCCGCTGGATCTGGACCCGCGGTTTCAAAAGCTGCGCCTCCGCCAGAGCTCTTCGAGCGGACAATATCGGTTCACGAAGCAGATCACTCTCCTGGAAACCCGACTCAGCCGTTGAAAGTTCTTGTGCGAACGGTCGTCTCTTTCAAAATGGGGCGACCAATTGTTAGCCGCCCAGAGTGCACATGGCAAGAATCGTTTGGCCTTCTGCTGCAAACGCACGAATAGTGGCCTCCAGTTCGTGATGGTCTGATGTGCCGCCCTCCAGGGTGTCGCAGTGCCCTGTACCTGCAGAGAGAGCGGCCGCACCTTGGCCCACGACCTGAGGGCGAGGAGGTCAGCCAGAGGGAACGTGCAAGAGGGGAGGTGAAGGACTCTGTGAAGGGCCCAAGACTCCCAGCGCGCGATCTGCTTGGGGAGAGGGGCCAGCTGGCATAGGTAAGAGAATTTGGAAATGGCTCGAGAGTTATAAAGCTGTATCGCCACCGAGGGGGCAGCCTGCTGCTTCGCAATAGCATTCACAACCTCCACCCACTCCCGAAACATCCTCGCCCACATCTCATCCTCCTCCTCCTCCTCCTTCCCCTCCGTCCTCCCTCTCATCCATCTCCCCCCCGTCGTCCCACTCCTCCGACTCCTCCTTCCGCCGCCTCCTCCCTCTCATACTATCTTCTGGTATTCCGCCTCCTCTACCCTCCTCGTCCTGCAACTCCCCCTCCTCGTCATGCGCCTTTCCCCTCATCCTCCTCCCACTCCCCTTCCCCACCACTCTCCTTCCCCCCATCTCCAGAACCTCGGTATCCTCCCTCCCCCTCGCCTCCCTCCCCCTCGTCCTCCTCCTTATCCGCCTCCTCGTCGTCCTGCTCACCTTCGTCCTCCTCCTCCTTATCCGCCTCCTTCGTCCTGCTCACCGTTGTCCCCTCCTCCTCCTCCTCCTCCTCCTCCTCCACCACCGGGGGGCGGGCACCCGAGGACAGCGTGCCCGCACCTCCCCGTGAAGACCCTTCCAACACTCACAATGAATAGCACTCTTCGACAGGTATGGGAGCGACGGGGCGATGCAGATCAGCCGAAAGCCCCGCTGCGTTAGTGCCAGATGCACGCCGGCATGTCCGACACATGCGATCTTGTCTGGACTGGTAAGGCTTCTCTCCGCAAGCAAGACAAAGTGGTTTCGAGCGGGCAGGCATGATGCCCAAGACGTGGTAGTAAGCACGCTGCGTTCCCTAGTGGAAGAGCGAGCTTGAGCGCGCGTGCGGCTGCGGGCAGGCAGAGGCGAAGGCAAAGCCAGTTGATCCTCAGCCCAATGTCGAACGTTATACATATTCCAACGCTATGGATGCATGATGCTCCCCGAGCCCCAGACCAACGAATCCACCGATCACTCCTGACCGCTCGGGCGTGACACCTGGTGCTGCTTGGTTACGTGTGGTAAAAATCCTCACCGTCCTGGCTTAAAACTGCCAGCAAAGTATCCTCACACCCCTCGCTTAAAACTGCCAGCGAAATATCCTCGCCCGTTGGTCTATCACTTCCAGAGAAATGTCCTCCCCCCCTGGCCTAAAACTGCCAGGAAATATCCTCACCCACTTACAACTGCCATCGAAATATCCTCACACCCCTCAGCGAAAAATCCTCACCCCCTGGCCTAAAACAGCCAGCGAAGTATCCTCACACCCCTGGCTTAAATTGCCAGCGAAGGTTCCTCTCCCCGAACCTAAAATTGCCAGCACGGTATCCTCAACCCCCTGACTTCAAACTGTTCCCGAAAACAGAATCACGGGCCGCGGCTGTAAACAGTAGAGAAGGGCACGGAGCATGAAGAAGGTAGGGACAGGAGAGGAAGGGACGCGTGGCAACAGAACCCTACTTCTACCCCTCCTCCTCCTCGAGAAGGGCAGCAAGCATGAAGAGGGTAGGGACAGGTAAGGAAGGGACGCGTGGCAACAGACCCCTACCCCTCCCCCTCCTCCCCCTCTCTCTGGGGGAGAACCAGGAAGACGAATCGGGGGCGGCCAAAAGGGGGGCGTCCAAGCAGTGGGGGCGCATATCATGGCTGGCGGCACGTACGCGGCCCAAGGGGGGAGGGGCAGGGCTGTAATGAAATAAGAAGAGGCGCTATGAAATCTAAAGAAATATCATGGCCCACGCCACGCCCAGGAGTGATGTATAGGAGCACCTGGACTGGCCAGGGCGCATATACACGACTTCTGCGACATGGATGGGCCTTGCCAGGGGCGGTGGATGTGCATTGTCGTCGTCGTCGGAGGAGGAGGACCATCGCACGGCTTGAAGAGTTCGAGTTCACGACGCACCCGCGCCGAGACAGCAGTCAACTGCCGAAACTGAACCCGCCCGACCCCGTGGGGATCTGTCACTCCTCTGGCGATGTGCTGGGAGCAGCGGCGGCCGCCAACGCGTGGCGGTGGAAAAGCTCGAGAGGCACTGGCGGGCGAAAGAAATGGCGGGCACGAGATCCGATCCTCGGATGTGCCAGCGCCTGCGCACGAGCCAGTTGCGTGATGGCATTGTTTGACTGTGGCGCACGAAGACACTCGCGCAACAGGAGCCCCCTGGGTCCCGTTTCGGAGTAAGAGGCACAATCGAAACACGTAGTGACCGTGCTCGAGTTGAGCAGGTACTCGAAAATAGAAAGACGATGGCCCCGTGGGTTTGTGCAAGAGGGGCCAGTCCCACACAATATCCAGGGCATCGCTCAGACCGTCTGATGTGATACTGGGCGTCATTCTTGGCTGCAGAACGGCACAATTTACAAAACGGACGGCCATGATACACTCCCACCAATGGGTGTCTCCAGCTTCCCCCAGTCCCGCACAATACCCAGGGCATGGTTCGGACCGTCTGACGTGATAGTGGGCGTCATTCTTGGCTGCAGAACCGTACAATGTACAAAAGTGACGGCCATGATACACTCCCACCGATGGGTTTCTCCAGTTTCCTCTCGGCGGTGGACAAACCTCCCTTTAATAAACCTCCCTTTAAAGAAAACGGTCTGGGACCGAAACCGACGGACCTGCACCCGCAAACAGAACGGCCGCGACGCCCTCTCGCGAACCGAAGACAACCAATTCCGTAATCGACGTGTCAGGGTAGGAGGTCTATCCACCTCCGATCCTGACACGTCGACGGGGCAGGGGGGAGGGGGAGGAGGAGGCCACGGAGGAGGGGGGACGGCCCCAGGCTCACACTAGAAACACGAAAAGAGGTGGGTTGCCAAAGGGGGACTAGGAGGAAGAGGAGAAGGAGGAGGAGCGCAGCGACCAGCGAGAAGAGGAGGAAGAGGAGGAGGAGGAAGAGGAGGAGGAATAGAGAAGAGGAGTAGGAGGACGAGGAAACTGAGGAGGAGGAGGAAGAGGTGGGGGGGGGAGGAGGTGGGGGAAGGAGGTGAGGGGAGGAGGAGGAGGAGGAGAAGGAGGATGAGGAGGAGGAATAGAAAAGAGGAGGATGAGGAGGAGGAGCAAAGAAGAGGAGGAGGAGCAGGAGGAAGGGGGGGAAGGAGCAGGGGGGTGAGGAGGACCCACCATTGCCTGCGGGAGGCCGTGGATCAGCAGAGGCACGAAGAAGGGCACGCCGCAGTGGAGCATGAGGTCGATGCACTCGAGGGCCGCCTCGTCGCACGCCTGCGCAGGGGGCGCGCGTGGCGCGCGGGCGGCCGCGCCAGGCCGCGCGCGGACCTGGCTGCGCCCGCCGCCCTGTGCCCACGAGCCTGGAACAAAAAAACTGCGAGGTTCGTAGCATCCAAGTTTTTGCTGGCAACGTCCTTACATTGTGCTGGTTGGCAACATCCTCAAACCTCAAGAGAAATGCGAGGTTGGCAACGTCCTCCAGGTTGTGCCCGGCCTCGAATAAATGTTCAGCCTCGTAATGAACGGTTTTGTCCCACAGCCCTCCTGAGGTAGTGGTTCTTCTTCTTTTTGAGTCACAAACTCCGTCCGTCCTCCCCGTCCGTCCTCCCTCCTCCCATTATTACCTCTGACCTCCGCATGTCCTCATGCGAGCTTCACCAAAAACCCTTGTGAATGGAATGGTGCCTATTCCGGCACACCCCTCACACGTTGCGTGGCCCCACGGGGAGCTCCACCGAAAGCCCCAGTGGCAGGAATCGCATACGTAGGAATCGCATACATGACCGCACCCATTTCGGCACACCCTCACTCGTTCCATGGCCCCACGGGAAGCTCCACCGAAGGCCCCAGTTGTAGGAATCGTGACTGCGCCCAGCTGGGCACATCCCTCACACGCTTCGTGGCCCCCATGGAGTTTCACGGAAGGTCCCAGTTGCAAGAATCGCATGCGTGACCGGACCCATGTCGGCACACCCCCCACACGATTCGTGGCCCCATGGGGGGCTCCAACGAAGGCCCCAGTTGCAGGAATGGCATGCGTGACCGCGCCCACCTCGGCACCCCTTTCACACGCTTCATGATCCCATGGGGTGCCCCACAGAAGGCCCCGCCGCCGTCTGTTCCCCAGGGACGTGCCGACAAATGCACAGATCAGCCGTAACGGGTAATGCGACCCGTTACTGCCGACCTCCGCGTTCCAATCAGCAACGTCGCTCCGCCCTTCTCACTCACGCCTCAGTCCTTCTGTTGGCCCCCTCCCTCAGTGTCCACTGTCTCGATGTACTCCTAGCTGCGTGCGGGCGGGTCCTTCGTGTGCATGGGGTTGAAGTACAAGGGCACAGAACCCCTGATCCGCTGGTAGAGGGAAGGAGGGATAGATGGATGTCTTTCCCTCCTGCACGATCAAAGGTATGATCGATCCGTCCCAATACCTGAGCCCAAACGGCCAGGCGCAGGAGAGGTGAGGATAAGGAGTATATATGAGGGTATTACACGGGTTCTATTCACACACCCCGTCCCGAATCCCGCCCGTGAGGGTAGGACTCGGGCGCAGAAGAAAAGAATCCGTCACCCTTTTACTCCTTCAATCCTCAGGTCTGCAGGCAGCTGAGCGCAAAGTCAGTATAGCCTCAGCTGCAAGGCAAGGTAAGAAGGAACACCCAGGGACCCAATTTCTTCGCCAAGCACGCTTTGGTGCCCCCTCGGTGCGCCCCCCAAAACGCTTCGGCACTCGAGGGCGGAGAAGAATGAGACACGGGTGGGCGGAGAAAGAGGATCTGAGCAAGTTAAAGCAACTTATAACCTGCCTCGCCTATGCGAGGCAGGTGTTGCCACCAGCTTTCAGATCATTCTCAACGCAATGGAGTCGGGCTCTAAAAAATATGAAATCTGAGATCGTGTTAAAGAACACGATCGTGTTACGAAACGCATCTATATATCAAAGCAAATGTCTGGCCAGACGAAAGGTCGTGTGGGTGAACACGAAAAGTTGCATGTATGTAAATTCTCTATATGGCGACTCCCTTTGGCGTTGCTCCTTAGGAGGCTGCCTTGGCTATCGCAAAATATGTGTGTATGCGTGGCCACTTGCGTTGTATAGTGAAGTGGCCTAGAAGTATAGAATAGCCACCGTTCAAGGCGAACTTGTATCATAATGAAGTTCAAACCTTTCGAGCGGTGGGCCTTGCGGCCGACTCACTACGCGCTGCCGTTCTCGTAGAACCTGCGGTCCCACATCCTGTGGCCATCGTACGTCACGTAGCTCGTCGTGAACGTCTCCCAAGATGCCCTCGGGATCCAGTGGCGAAACCACTTGTTGTACTGGACGTCGCGGATGTTTACGAACTCGTCGTTGTTCAGCGCGATGTAGATCCAGCAGTTGATGTAGTAGCTCCAGTTCCTGAGGCCCCAATGGCTGTCCTCAAGGTCGTCGCGCTTCCAGGCGGCGTAGTCTGTCGTACGCGCCCTCTTGGCGCGAGGTCTGTAGCTGTCGTCGCTATCCTGCCGCTGCGCTGCAGCGCCGCGTGGCCCCGCGGGCGCGCGGTCATCCGCGCCGGAGGCGCTAGACCGTGCAGCATCGCCAGGGGCAGGGCGCGGCGGCGGCGGATGGCGCGGCTGGCGTGGCTCCATGGCATCATTAGAGTGTTGGGAGTGTGTATCAGGTTCGATCGGATCGGGCCTCATCCCTGAATCAACCCCCCTCTGGTCGGCGGAACCCAAGGCAGAAGCCAACAATTCGTGAGCAATCGCGGCAAGTTCGCGCTGCGTGACTTTCTCACGGGTGCCGTCCCCTTTGGGGAGGGCAATCCTGACAAGTCCGCGAGCCTGCCGCGTGCGCCTGTCGAGTCTGCCTTCGTTCAACCACCACTTCTTCCGACCAGCTTGGCCTGTCCTGATGCTGGTCTCGAGGATTTCACATGCATCGCGCATGTCCTCAACGGTCCAGGCCTTCTTGCCCACGTTAACGCGAGCGTGTGTCATTTGGTGATGGAACTTCAAATCATTGAGAAAACGCTGAACGAGATTGGCATATGGATGGTACAGAGGTCTGTCGTCTTCAGCCTCGCCCATCAGTCTGCACTCGTGTGCAGGAGGGCGGCCAGAGTCGACCCACTTCTGATACATCTTCCTAACGGAATTGGCCATTCTCCTCAGCGCGTCTTTCTCATTGCCTGGAAATGAACGCTTGCCCGTCATGATGACTTGCGCTCCGTCTCTCATGTACCTCGTGATGTCATCCTGGGAGAGCGTCGTCTTGATCCAGTGGGTCAGCTTCTGGAGGTATGCAAGGTCGCTCTGGACGGCGGTACTTTTACCCGTAGCACCTAGAGATACAGTGTACTGCCAGCAGATGTCACAAAGGGCACCATCATTTGTAACGATCCCTAGGGATAAGATGCGATCGCAATTCCGGCATCGCGCGATATCATGCAGGATAGTTTCAGGGGCTCCGTCAATCGTGAGATGCTCACGGGATCCCCTATTGGGTCGCCTGGCCACGAGCGAGACTGCGGCCGATCTGATCCATGGCATCGCGGTCGATCTCAGCATTCGGTCGGGAAGCGATTGATCTACTCAATCCCTCGATCTCGATCCTAGACAATCTTTCCCCTGGCAGTCCTATGCGCTCTGTCGTGTCGTTGTCCGCGTCCTCAGCATCACCATGGCATACGTTTTCTGTACGGAGACGGCGAGCCTCCTCCTGCAAGGCGGACTCGTTGTCGCCCTCCTCGCGGTTGACTCCCGTCTGCTCGGCTATGATCCGTACCATGGTTTCTTGATCAGGAGCTGCGGATGCAATGCTGCCTGGGTCCTGGGGAATGTCCTGCTCCGCGCCTGGGTCACGTGGCGCGGCAGGTGTTTCCGCCAGCTCCGTCCATACGGGGAAGCCTGGATTGCCGAATGTCTCGATGCAATGTGTAAATAGATCACGCAACGTTTGGAGCGCGGGATGATTCTGATGGATAGCATCTTTTGTGAAGCCACGGAGCTCCGCAATACTGTCCAGCAATATGTCTTGGTACACTTTGGAGATCCATCGAAAGACGCCTGTAGTCGACTCCTCGATGGTCTCTGGGTCCAGGTAGTGTACCAACTTTTTGAAGAAGCGATCTGCACTGCAAATCGGTAAGTCACGTGCCAACTTGTGGGTATGATTATAATCCAATAGTATGTCTCTGCGTTCCATGCTTTGGATCCGAATTGAACGTCGAATTGTAAGTACGACTGTACTTTATCCACCACAAATCTGTCCACGCCAGTGTGCACCTCAATGATTTGCTTCATCTTTGTCATAGGTGAGTCTACCAAAAGCTCCGACACCCAGCGGTATATGCGGTGGTCGTATGATTGTCTGGTCCACCTTGTGTCCTCCTCTGGGTCGTATTCGGGGTGATTGAGGAAGTCTTCTGGCGGGTCAATAACGTTGTCGAGGATGCTCGCGTCGACGTGCTCATCTGCTTGGATCTCTGCTGATAGATCTGCTTTCATATTGTCATGTGCCGCTTTTTCTTCGGCAATGAGTGGTATGTTTGCTATATCCACAATAACGGCAACCAGAGGTTCGGCAGATTGGCCTGCCGTTTGTTGGGGCCCATCGTCCGCGGGAGCAGTATCCTCGGCAGGTGTGGCCACCAGCTCTTCGGGATCGGGTGTCCGAGGAGCGGGCCGTCTGGTCGGCGTACGTGGGATACGTGGCTTATAAATGCTCGGCATGCCGAGATATGGCAGATCACCATATGTTTTGTGCTGAAGTATTTTGTCACGGCATGAGGATGGTCCTTCCAGGGCAGCATTCATATTTGTCGGGTCAATGGCATATTTGTCGGCACGAATTGGTAAAGCAAAGACAACGCCCTTGAGAGGCATGCTTTTGTCATTGTACCATATGTTTACCCATCGTAAACCGTAGTTGAGGATAAGTATTTGTACCGCAAAGAACTTGTCAAAGACTCCGAAATGAATGATTGGGCCGTATGTGTGGCCCATGTTCATGAGGACCTTGGTTTTGTGATTGCCCTTGGGGTAGCGATTGTCGTAATGATAACAATTGGTAGATCCCCAATTCTTAGTGACAATGAAGTCCCCCATGCGAACATCATTAAATGTAGGCCGACGATCCCAATCTTTCTGTGTAATCCTTGATGTAATGGGTCGAAGAGCCTCTCGGCAGTATGACATAGCAATTAACCATTATTTATATTATGTTTTGCGGTCGGCGTCGTCGATCATAGCACGGACCATTTGTGCGTCCAAGGCGTCGGCGCCAGATATGC